CTTGAAAGGTGGGGTACAGAGCTAAATAGAGAATTCTCAGTAGAGGAGGCTAAAATGGCCAAGAGACACTTAAGAAAGTGCTCAACATCCTTAGCCATCAGGGAAATGCAAATCAAAACAACTCTGAGATACCATCTTACTCCTGTCAGAATGGCTAGAATCAAAAACACGGAAGACAATTTATGCTGGAGAGGATGTGGAGAGAGAGGAACACTCCTCCACTGCTGGTGGGAATGCCGACTCATACAGCCTCTTTGGAAATCAGTATGGAGATTCCCCAGGAAAATGGGAATTAATCTACCACTAGACCCAGCAATTCCACTCTTAGGCATTTATCCAAATGAGGCAGGTTCATACAACAAGGGCATCTGCTCCACTATGTTCATAGCAGCATTGTTTGTAATAGCCAGAACCTGGAAGCAACCTAGATGCCCCTCAACTGAAGAGTGGATAGAGAAAATGTGGTACATTTACACAATGGAGTATTGCTCAGCAGAAAAAAACAATGGAATCTTGAAATTCGCAGGGAAATGGATAGCACTGGAAGTACCATCCTGAGTGAGGTAACCCAGTCGCAAAAAGACAAACATGGTATGTACTCACTCATATATGGATTTTAAATATGGATCAGGATAGTGCCAGTCTGCACTTCCACAGATAGAGAGTCTGGGAAACAGGAAAGAACCTAAAAGATATGCATATATGCATAGTACCCAAGAGAAGAGGATGGAGACAAGATCCTCTGAATGGATGGGGAACACGGCGAGGGGGGGGGAGTGGGACCTGGGAAGAATAGAGGGGGTAAAGAGGAAGGGAGTTGGTCATGGGGGAACAGGAAGTTGAGGGGGTGGGGGTAAAATAGGCGGAAGAGGGAATCATAGGATCGAAGACAGATCAGGCACCAGAATGACCTCGAGTGATCTAAAGGTATAACATCAATTGGCAAGCTAAGCAATAGTGGAAGGACCACCTCGAATGCCCATTCCTGATAATGAACTTGATGTCTATAACCATCCGGGAGCCTTCATCCTGTGACTGATGGAAGCAGAGGCAAACACACAACTAAGCACTGAACTGAACCCAAGGAACCCAGTGACAGAGAGAGAGGAGTGATGAGCAAATTGGCAAAGAATGGGCTGGCAAAACCAGCAGAGACAGCTGATCTGAACAGGGGAGTGCTCTTGGACCCCAGACCGACAGTGGGGAGGCCAGAATGGGACTGATCTGGACCCCCCAAATGTGAGTGTCAGTGAGAAGGCCTGGGCAACCTATGGGGCCCTGAGCTGTGGATCAGTGTCTATCCCTGGTATATAATCTGTCTTCATGTGCCTATAGCACAAAGAGAGATGCTCTCTCAGCCTGGACTCTTAGGGGAGTGCCTTGACCCTACCAAGAGTAAAATGATAGACTCTAGATATCCCCTATGTGGAAGGATTTGGCAATAGGGTGGGAGGGAGGGTGGAAGGGGAGTGCGGGAGGAGGGGAGGGAGAGGGAACTGGGATTGACATGTAAAACAAGCTATTTAAAATTAAAATAAATAATGATAAAAAAGACAAAAAAAAAACAAAAACAAAAAAAAATGGATATATGCCTAAGAGTGGAGTTGCTGGGTCTTGTGGTAGGTTTATTCCCATTTTTCTGAGGAATCTCCATACTGATTTCCAAAGTGGCTGAACAAGTTTGCACTCCCAGCAATGGAGGAGTGTTCCCCTTTCACCACATCCTCTCCAGCATAAATTGTCGTTGGCGTTTTTGATTTTAGCCATTCTGACAGGAGTGAGATGGTATCTCAAAGTTGTTTTGATTTGCATTTCCCGGATGGCTAAGGATGTTGAGCACTTTCTCAAGTGCCTCTCAGCCATTTTTAGAATCCTCTATTGAAAACTCTCTATTTAGTTCTGCAGCCCACTTTTTAATAGAATTCTCTATTTAGTTCTGTAGCTCACTTTTTAATTGAATCCTTTGGTGTTTTGAAGACTTACTTGTGGTCAACAATTAATACATGGGACCTCCTGAAACTGAGAAGCTTCTGTAAAGGCAAAGGACACAGTCAACCAGACAAAAAGGCAACCCATAGAATGGGAAAAGATATCTACTAATCCCACATCTGACAGAGGGCTGATCTATAAAATTTACCAATTTTAAACTCTATTATAGATCTATAGTCCTGAAAAAAACATGGTATCAACACAAAAATAGACAAGGTAGATCAATGGAATTGAATTAAAGATCCAGATATTAACCCACACACCTATAAACACCTGATTTTTGACAAAGAAGCTAAAATTATACAATGGAAAAAAGAAAGTATCTTCAACAAATGCTGCTGGCATAAGTGGATGCTGACATGTAGAAGACTGCAGGTAGATTCTTATCTATAATCATGCACAAAACTTAAGTTCAAATGGATCAAAGACCTCACCATAAATCTAGCCACATTGTAACTTCTTAGAAGAGAAAGTAGGAGGTACCCATTAAGGAACTGGTACAGGAGACTATTTGCTGAACCTAATACCAGTTGCACAGACACTGAGATTGACAATTAATAATGGGACCTCCTGAAACTGAAACTGAGAAGCTTCTGTAAGGCAAAGGACACAGTCAGCAAGACAAAATGGCAGCCCACAGACTGGGAAAAGATCTTCACCAATCCTACATCTGACAAGGCTGATTTCCAAAATATACAAAGAATTCAAGAAACTAGTCACCAAAACACCAAACAATTCTATTAAAAAGTAGGGTTCAGAACTAAATAGAAAATTATCAATAGAGGGATCTAAAATAGCTTAAGGACACTTAAGAAAGTGTTCAACATCCTTAGCCATCAGGGAAATGCAAATCAAAGCAACTCTGAGATACCATCTTACACGGGCCAGAATGGCTAAAAATAAAAACACCACTAATAGTCTGTGCTGGAGAGGATGTGGAGAAAGAGGAACACTCCTCTGTTGCTGGTGGGAGTGCAAACTTGTGCAGCCACTTTGGAAATCAGTATGTCAGTTTCTCAGGAAAATGGGAATCAGTCTACCTCAAGAGCGAGCAATTCCACTCTTGGGCATACACCCAAAGGATGCACATTCATACAACAAGGACATATGCTCAACTATGTTCATAGCAGCGTTGTTTGTAATAGCCAGAATGTGGAAGCAACCTAGTTGCCTCTCAACTCAAGAAAGGATGGAGAAAATGTTGTACATCTACACAATGGTGTATTATCTCAGCAAAAAGGAAGAAATCTTGAAATTTGCAGAAAAAATGGATGGAACTGAAAAAAACCCATCCTGAGTGAGGTAACCCAATCACAGAAAGATAAGCATGGTATGTACTCACTCATATATGGATATTAAACATAGAACAAAGTACTTCCAGCCTATAATTCACATTACCAGAGAGACTAGGAAGCAAGGAGGAACCTAAGAGAAAATTACATGGTCTCCCCAAAAAGGGAAAGGGACAAGAATTGCTGAGCAAATTGGTGGGAGAGGGAAGGAGGCAAAAGAGAAGGAGAGAAGAGGAGGGATAGGAGGACATGAGGGATCAGGAAGAGTGAGTCAGGGAAGGAATAGAGGAGATCAAGAAAAGAGATGCTTTAATAGAGGGAGCCAATATAGGTTTAAAGAGAAATATAAAGTAAAATGTTCAGAGATCTACAAAGATGACCCCCAACTAACAATCTAGGCAGTAGTGGAGAGGCTGTCTTTGATGCCCTTCCCCTATAATGAGATTGATGACTGCCTTAATTGCTATTCTAGAGCCTTCATACAGTAGGTGATGGAAGCAGAAGCAGGTACCCACAGCTAAGCACCGAGTCATACTCCTGGAATCTAGTTGTAGAGAGGGAGGAGGGATAAACAAAGGAGTCAAGAGCATGCTGGAGAAACCTCCAGAACCAGCTTACCTGACCTAGTTAGAGCACATGGACCCCAGTTGTAAAGCTGGGGAAGCAGCGTTGGGCTGAACCAAGCCCTTTGAATGTGTGTGCCACTTAGGAGGCCTTGGTCTCCTATGGGACCTCTAACAGTGGAACCAGTATTTTTCTCTAGTGAACAAATGGACTTCAGGAGCCCATTCCCTCTGGAGTGATACTATTTCACCCCAGATGCGCAAACTATACACCTTCCCAAATTAAGTTATTGCACTCTTACTCAAGTGTGGGCACAATACTATTACTTTTAGGTGCCATTCAAGAGGGTACAATCCAATTAAAACAAGTTGATGATATTCTTTGAAAATGAGAAGTTCTTTCCCACGATGAGGACTTTTACTGTTTTTTTCCTGTCTGTCATGCTTTCTGCTAGACCTTTAAATGGTGAGCAGCTAACCATATTCCATCACAACATGAATGTTGATCCCATTCAAAGGGAATTTCTGACTCCTCAGTAGGAGGTAGTATATTCTTCTATCACTTCATGTTATTCATCTGGTGATATCTTTATCATAGACAAGGTAACTCATCTAAATCTCACTCCATGGCATCTTTCTCACCAAACACAGGTCTGACAACTCATAGATATGCAACTATTGGTGGAATCAATGCACCAAGATTTGGTCATTTTCTATGCAACCCATATCTTGCTTTCAATTTTTTGTGGTACCAGGATTGAAAAAACCACACATAATTGTTGGAAGAAGTTTAATGAGGAAATTATGTATAGAATACAGTCTGACTATGTCACTTATAGGAATAAGAAAATACCAGTTATTGAGGTGCCACATTTGTGTTTTTGCTGGAAAATAAGAATATAACAAAGATACTATTCACTTAAAAGTAATTTACTTTTTCTATTCTTTCTTTTCCATTTTCCTTTTCATAAGGTTGCTCAAGCTGATCATGAATTCGAACACTGAAGAAATCCCCCTGCCTCAGATTTCTGAGTAACTGGGATTACAGTTACATATCAGTATGTTCCACTTAAAGTTATATTGTCATTTGCGATCCTTAAGCTTTGTGGATTCTTTCAGAAGACCACCCAGTGAACTCCTTTCTTTACCTAACCCCATGTTCTACAGCAATGTATTCCCATTGTCTTTCTTTTCTTCCCTAAAAATTTCCTGTAATTAAACCCCATGTTTTCTTAAAAATATTACATTTATGCAGTCACTTAACATAGTGTTCAAGAACTAATGGGCACAGAGAAAAGGGCCCAAAGAACATGAGTTAATTCTCATCACATCTACATTTTTAAAGCAGCCTTCTTCACAAGAACATTAGTCATAAAATATCTTTCAAGGTTTCTTAAAAACTCAAAAATGGCCAAGACATCATGATCATATTACAAATATGCCACCAGAAAGAAGCAATCGTTTTATAACTCAATGATGTACCTGTTTCAGAGACAGTTATCCAAAGCCCCCAGCCTTATTTTATTGCTATAGAGAAGAATATCATATATATTTCAACGTGGAAAATTTATTTATCAGATTTTCTCATTGGCACAACTTCAACCACACAGCAACTGTGTTCTGGCAGCATGGGGAATATAGGATGATTTTGAGAGAATGTTTGTAAATTTGCAGATAATTTTCCTATACCTCATTTGATTGTATAATCAATACTGCAAAGCCCTGTGTGACCAGGTTTGGAGTAGAGCGTAACACACACTTTACAGCTGTTATTTTTTCGCATTCTGTGGGTGAAAACATGAGCACCCTTTAAATACTGTCTTCTCTTGTTTTGACTGACAAGGAGAAAAAGGCAAGGTGAGGTAGAGTAGAGGGGACGGTCATAAAATGTGTGAGGCTACACATAATATATAAATTTATCATTTAGAATCTCTCTTCTTGTGATATTTGCTTCTGACATTGAATACAGCCACAGGTATTTAATTCACCCTTTACAAGTTCTCTCATTAGTTTTTCCTTGACCAAGCAACAGGAGCCCATGATTGAAGGCCAGCTGATATCAGCACTTAGGCATTCACCTCAGTCTTGACCTACAGCACACATTAACCTCTGGGGCAAAATTGCTACTGGCACCAGGTGGGCAATCACACCACAGTGACCATGTTCCTTCTGTGGGGATTTTCCAGTTTCCCAGAACTGCTAAATTTACTCTTTGTTGTAATTCTCCTTTCTCATGTGACAATTCTCCTAGCAAATGCATCCATCATGGTGGCCATCAAGCTCAACCACAACCTTCATATCCCCATGTATTTTTTCCTCTTCACTCTGTCCTTTTCAGAAACATGCACCACTATGGTGATTCTACCCCAGTTGATGGTGGACTTGCTATCAGAAAGCAAAACCATTTCTCTCCCCAAGTGTGCCACACTGATGTTTTTCTTCTTTGGATTGGCAGCCAACAACTGTTTCATCTTGTCTGCCATGTCCTATGACCATTACACTGCCATCCACAACCCCCTGCATTATCCCATTTTCATGACTAGAAAAATATGCTTCCAGCTTATCATGACCTCTGGTGTGACTGGCTTCTCAGTTTCTCTGTGTATTGTAATCATAATATTCAACTTATCTTTTTGTAATTCCAACACCATTCAGCACTTTTTTTGTGACATTGCACCACTGGTTGCCCTTGCCTGTAACTGCACTTTTCTTCAGAAGCTGATTCTCCTTACGTTCACCATATTTTTGTTGGTGGGCAGCTTTATTTTGATCATGGTTTCTTATGTCTTCATTGTGTCCATAGTTGTGAAGGTGCCCTCTGCAAAGGGAAGGTATAAGACATTTTCAACTTGCTCCTCCAACTTCACTCTAGTGTTCATACATTATGGGTTTGCTTGCTTTGTCTATCTGAGGCCTAAGAATGGTAACACATTCAGAGATGACAAACTGATGGCAGTGACATACACGGTTCTGACACCTCTGCTGAACCCTATTATTTATAGTCTACGGAACAAAGACATGCAGACAGCCCTGAGAGAAATACTGGGTCACGGAATTAAGGGCTTCCCTAATATGGTAAATAAAAGAGCTCAGAACATTTGAAAAGTTGATTTGATTTTGCTAAATAAATGTGGAAATGAGGATCACTTCAAATAAAAATCACGATACCACACAAAGCAATTGAAGTGTTGTCCTAATGGGTTTGATTTTCATATTTTTCTTACTACAAAACCAGTGATCAACCCTGAAAACAAAAACACAACATTACACAGACTGAGCAAATTGTATTTTTGTATTTAGGAATATTTATGTGTGTAACAACAATTAAGTAAAAACAGAGACTATGAACATTAAAGAGAGCAAGGAAGACCTTCCTCTTTTTACTGGAGTCCCAGCAAGTATATATCTCCCGACTTCCCAGACCCCTCCAAAAAGAACCCTCCAAATATCTAAGTCTCTTCCAATCCTTGTTTGTGTGTCTCTTTATCTGTCTCCCTATGTCCTTTGTACTCTCTATGGCTAGTTTTGTCAAATAGTTGCTGGTGCCACCCCCTGATCCAAGGTTAATTTTAACACAGACTCAAGAGTTTTACAGTGCAAACTTCTTGCAACAATGGATTTTGTCTCGTGATCTATTGTGTCTTTTAATCAGACAGTTGAGACCATTGATATATAAAGTTATTGTTTAAAAGCATGTTTTGATTGCAACCATTTTTGGTTTTGCTCTTTATATTTTAAGCAATACTTTGTATTTCAGTGATTATAGATTTATTTGTTGCATTTATGTAGTTTCTTGGCTTCCTCTCTTCAGTCCAGAGGGCTGGGTTGGTAGAAAGGAACACTTCTTAGCCTATTTCTATCACAGAACATTTTTCTTTCTCCTTCAACTATGGCAGATAATTTGGCTGTTTACAGTATTCTAGTTGGCAACTATGGTCTTTTTCTTTCTTTTAATTTTAAATAGCTTGTTTTACATGTCAATCCCAGTTCCCTCTCCCTCCCCTCCTCCCACACACCCCTACCATCTCCCCCCCCCAGCCTCCCACCCTATCGCCATTTCCTTCCACATCCAGGATATCTAGAGTTAGTCATTTCACTCAGGGCAGGGTCCAGACACTCCCCTAAGAGTCCAGGCCGAGAGAGCAACCCTCTTTGTATTATGGACACACGATGTCTGTTTATATGCCAGGGATAAACACTGATCCACTGCCCAGGGCCCCATAGGTTGCCCAGGACTCCTCACTGATTCTCACATTCAGGGAGTCTGGATCAGTCCCATGCTGGCCTCCCAGCTGTCAGTCTGGGGTCCAAGAGCTCTCCCCCTGTTCAGACCAGCTGTTTCTGCTGGTTTTGCCAGCCCATTCTTTGCCAATATGCTCATTGGTCCTCTCTTTCTCTCACTGGGTTCCATGGGTTCAGTTCAGTGTTTAACTGTGGGTGTTTTCCTCTGCTTCCATCAGTCAGTCACTGGATGAAGGCCCCAGGATGGTTATGGACATCAAGTTCATTATCAGGAATGGGCATTCGAGGTGGGCTCTCCACTATTGCTTAGCTTGCCAATTGGTGTCATCCCTTTAGATCACTAGAAGTCATACTGGTGCCAGATCTCTCTTCTAACCTATGATTCCCTCTTCCCCCTATTCTAAGCCCCACTCAACCTTCCTGTTCCCCCATGACCTAATCTCTCTTCCTCTTCTCCACCTCTCTTCTTCCCAGCTCCCACTACCCCCCAACCCTTGCCGTGTTGCCCATCTGTTCAGAAGATCTTGCCTCATTCCTGTTCTCTGGGGTACCATGCATATCTCTTAGGTTCTTTCCTGTTTCCCAGACTCTCTGTGAGTGGAAGTGCAGACTGGCATTATCCTGATACATGTCTAAAATCCATATATGGTGGTGAGTACATACCATGTTTGTTTTTTTGTGACTGGCTTACCTCACTCAGGATGGTTTCTTCTAGTGCTATCCATTTACCTGCAAATTTCAAGATAACATTGTTTTTTTTTTCTGCTGAGTAATACACCATTGTGTAAATGTACCACATTTTCTCTATCCACTCTTCAGTTGAGGGGCATCTAGGTTGCTTCCAGGTTCTGGCTATTACAAATAATGCTGCTATGAATATAGTGGAGCAGATGCCCTTGTCGTATGAATTTGCCTCTTTTGGATATATGCCTAAGAGTGGAATTGCTGGGTCTTGAGATAGACTGATTCCCATTTTCCTGAGGAATCTCCATTCTGATTTCCAAAGTGGCTGTACGAGTTGGCACTCCCACCAGCAGTGGAGGAATGTTCCTCTCTCTCCACATCCTCTCCAGCATAAATTGTCTTTGGTGTTTTTGATTTTAGCCATTCTGACAGGAGTAAGATGGTATCTCAAAGTTGTTTTGATTTGCATTTTCCTGATGGCTAAGGATGTTGAGCACTTTCTTAAGTGTCTCACAGCCATTTTAGACTCCTCTGTTGAGAATTATCTATTTAGTTCTGTACCACATCTTTTAATTGGATCCTTTGGTGTTTTGGAGACCTGCTTCTTGAGTTCTTTGTAAATTTTGGAGATAAGTCCTCTGTCAGATGTGGGGTTAGTGAATATCTTCCCATTCTGTGGACTGCCTTTTTGTCTTGTTGGCTGTGTCCTTTGCCTTACAGAACCTTTTTAGTTTCAGGAGGTGCCATTTATTAATTGTAGATCTCAGAATCTATGCCACTGGTGTTATGTTCAGGAAGTGGTCTCCTGTACCAACTCCTTGAAGAGTATCTTCCACTTTCTCTTCTAAGAGTTTCAGTGTGGTTGGATTTATGTTGAGATCTTTCATCCATTTGGACTTAAGTTTTGCTTAAGGGGATAAACATGGATCTATCTGCAGTCTTCTGCATACCAATACCCAGTTATGCCAGCACAATTTGTTGAAGATTCTTTCTTTTTCCATTGTATAGTTTTAGCTTCTTTGTCAAAAATCAAGTGTTCATAGGTATGTAGGTTAAAATCAGGGTTTTTAATTCAGTTCCATTGGTCTACCTGTCTATTTTTGTGCCAATACCAAGCTGTTTTCAAGACTATAGCTCTATAATAGAGTCAGGTATGGTGATGCCTCCTGAAGTTCCTTTATTGTATAGGATTGTTTAGGCTATCCTGGGCCTTTTGTTTTTCATATAAAGTTGATTATTGTACTTTCAACGTCTGTGAAGAATTGTGCCAGAATTTTGATAAGGATTGCATTGAATCTGTAGACTGCTTTTTGGCAAGATTGCCATTTTTATTATGTTGATCCTACCAATACAAGACCATGGGAGATCTTTCCATTTTCTGGTATCCTCTTTGATTTCTTTCTTTAAAGACTCAAAGTTCTTGATATACAGGTTTTTCACGTCCTTGGTTAACATTATCCCCAGATATTTGATGCTGTTTATGCTATTGTAAAGGATGATGTTTCTGTGATTTCTTTCTCAGCCACTTCATCATCTGTATATAATAGGGCCACTGATTTTTTTTTTTTAGTTTACCTTGTGTCCTGCCATGTTGCTGAAGGTGTTTATCAGCTCTAGAAGTTCCCTTGCGGAGTTTTTCGGGTCACTTATGTAAATTATCATATCATCTGCAAATAGTGAAAGTTTGATTTCTTCTTTTCCTAAATGTATCCCCTTTATCTCCTTTTGTTGTCTTATTGCTGTAGCTAGAACGTCAAGTACAATATTGAAGAGATATGGAGAGAGTGGACAGCCTTGTTTTATTCCTGGTTTTAGAGGAATTGCATTGAGTTTCTCTCCATTTAGTTTGATGTTAACTGTTGGTTTACTGTATATTGCTTTTATAATTTTCAGGTATGATCCTGTTATCCCTGATCTCTCTAGGTCCTTTATCATGAAGGGGTGTTGGATTTTGTCAAAGGCTTTTTCAGCATCTAGTGAGATGAGCATGTGGTTTTTCTTCTGCAGTTTGTTAATATGGTGGATTCCATTGATAGATTTTCTAATGTTGAACCATCCCTGCATTCCTGGGATAAAGCCTACTTGATCATGGTGGATGATTTTTCTGATGTGTTCTTGAATCCAGTTTACTAGTATTTTATTGAGTATTTTTGCATCGATGTTCAAGAGGGAAACTGGTCTATAGTTCTCTTGCTTAGTTGTGTCTTTGTGTGGCTTGGGTATCAAGGTAATTGTGGCCTGGTAAAAAGAGTTTGTCGGAGGGAGAGGGAACTGGGATTGTCATGTAAAACAAGCTATTTAAAATTAAAATAAAAAATGATAAAAAAAGAGTTTGTCAGTGAGCCGCCTGCTTCTATTGTGTGGAATACTTTGAGGAGTATTGGAATGAGCTCTTCTTTGAATTTCTGGTAGAATTCTGCACTGAAGCCATCTGGGCCTGGGTATTTTTTGGTTGGGAGATTTTTGATGACTACTTCCATTTTATTAAGTGTTATAGGTCTGTTTAGATTGTTTATCTGTTCTTGATTTAGTTTTGGCAAGTGAAATCTATCCATGAAATTGTCCATTTCCTTTAAATTTTTGAATTTTGTGGAGTACAGATTTTCAAAGTATGCCCTGATGATTATCTGGATTTCCTCAGTGTCTATTGTTATGTCCCCCATTTTCATTTCTGATTTTGTTAATTAGGATGCACTCTCTCTGTCTTTTGATTAGTTTGAACAGAGGTTTGTCTATTTTGTTGATTTTCTCAAAGAACCAACTCTTTGTTTCAGTGATTCTTCTCAATGTTTTCCTGGTTTCTACTTGATTGATTTCAGCCCTCAATTTGATTATTTCCTGGTGTCTGCTCCTCCTGGGTGAGTTTGCCTCTTTTTTTTCTAGAACATTCAGTTGTGCTATTAATTCTCTAGTGTGACTGTTCTTCAGGCAACTATGGTCTTTTAGAACTGAATTCATTGCATCAAGTTCTGGAGTTTAGTTTCCATTGAGAAATCAGTTTTTACTCCAATGGGTTTTTCCTTATATTTACTTGTGGTTTTCCTCCTGCATATTCCAATAGCCTTTCTTTGTTCTGCTTATTTAAACTATTATATACTGTGGGAAGTTTCCTTTCTGGTCTTATTAATTTGGTTTTCTGTGTGATTCTTAATTCTGTATTGGTATGTCATTCCTTT